TTTTTTTTTTTTTTTTTTTTTTTTTTTTTTTTTTTTTTTTTTTTTTTTTTTTTTTTTTTTTTTTTTTTTTTTTTTTTTTTTTTTTTTTTTTTTTTTTTTTTTTTTTTTTTTTTTTTCCATTTTTTTTTTTTTTTCACTCTCGAAAGATCTCAAAAGCTCCCCCTGATGGCAACAAAAAGGATTTTTCGAAGTACTTAATCAGTGGAAATGACTTAGCAGGAGCGCACGCCGAGTCCTCGGGCCACTGTTCCCCTCCTCAGAAATCCAGGAGAACCAAGTTTAATCACACCAAATTCGGTCACAAACCCAATCATTCACATCACTCGCCTCTTCCCCCTCTAAACTGATGATTGCCACATCTTGCTTTCCTATGAACTTTTAACAACAAACACGCACAAGAGTTTTCCTGGGACTGTCATCTTTCTGCTTCTGCAGATTCCCTTATTAGCACCAGCTTTTCTGACTACTTACACTCAAAACATAGATTATAACATTAATGAAAAGCCATTTTTTCCAATGAGAACGAGTTGCTGAATGCTCACAAGGCTTCTGGGAGATGTTATTTTAAGTTTCCTACTAATTTGTGAACACTCAACAGTGCAAGTTTGACATTTTCGGAGATGTTGAGTAAATCCATAAAGTCCTACCAGAAGTCAACAAGAAGCAGAGCTGAGCAGCCCCTCTCTGTCCTACAGCCCTTCCCTCCACCACCAGCTCTGCTCACAAGAAAGGCAAAACACTGGCAACATCCACAAAGTTTTTAATAGAAGACCTCGAAGCAGTTAAGCCTCATGGCAACCAAGAGGAAATCTTTAACTAGAAATAAATGATACCACAGTATAAACTCCTATCCGTGTCCTGAGGAGCTTGAAGGTGCACAAAAAATACACCTTTGTGTCCGTGCCTGCTCGGCAAGAAACAATTTAAGGTCAGAGCTGAAGTGCTGCACTTGATTATTCTAATTTAACACAGAGAGGAGAGTGCAAATCCACCAAAAAATTGCAAAAAATTAAAATGAACCTGTTCAACCTCAGCAAGAGCTAAAAGGAGAAGTCCTGCTGCTGGGACACTGCTTTCTGCACTTGACAACTCTGAAGTCCCCCAGAACTTTGCCCATGTAGAGTCTGGAAGAACAGACTTAAATAATTCTGGTTCCAGTTTTTGCACTGAAATTCTGCAAAATCACAGTGTTTTTTGGGGGACATTGTGATCTGGCTGAAATCACCAAAGAAAATGACTGAGACCCCTCAGTTTGGTGGCACTGCACTGTTTAATTTTGGACATATTTGACCTCCTATGTCTTACAAAAGAGTTTCACTGTGACCAAAACACAACACCTGCAGCTCCAGTATCAAATCCTGGGATATTGCTGCTACAGAGAAAAGCCCAAAGCTCTGCTTTCCATACTTAGGGAAGACAGAGGAAAGTATGAAAAGATGGGATTTACCTCTAACCCACAAATTACGCATTCAATCAGTTTTATTCCTAAGACGCGGCGAAAGCATAAGGAAAATGTGACACATAAACTCTCCGTGTGATAAAAAGCAGAGAGTGGAAGAGAGATGATTTTAGGAGTAGGGAGTAAATCTTGGATTCTTGAAGTCTGTGGGTCAAGATCGAACTTCCCTGACACCAGATGAAATTCTACCCTGCACAGATGGACATTTATTCTCTGCTTCAGCCAGTACTTAAGTGATGCACTGGCCTTCTGGCAGAGGGGTTCCTACCCAAGGAGAATAATCCTCCTGCTGAACTCCAGGAATATTCTCCTAAGGAGAGGGAGCAAGAGATTGTCCTGCATCTAGAGGTATTTTTCACAAGGAAAAAGAAAAAAAAAAAACACCCAACCCCAGCTACACATAGAGAGACGAGAATGAAAATAGATATTTATGACACTATGCCAAAAAATAGCATTGAGCTAAATGCTGTATGCAGTCATTATAAGGAGAAATACTCAGCAGGAATCTTAGCTGAAGCTGCCAATAACTCCCAGGTTCAAGACCAGAGCTGAGTGAATAAATCATAGCAAATAATGGTTTTGTCAAATTTTGACTTTTTTTCCCCTCCTATTTGCAAGCAGACTGTGAAACCTCTCAAATATGTTTGAAATTACATGCCCATTTCTTCCTTGTATTTAGTATTTCTCTGAGGCCAATTAGCACACAATTTGCTGCAATGTACACATTTTCACATTTGTTCTGTGTTAATTGGGCAAGGAAGTCACACTGCATTATTTTTGGCTCCCTTGGGGGTCAGGTTTAATCACTCATGATACAGTAAAATTACTAATTTTACATATGATGGGAGTTTTCACACTTGAAACTCTCCTTGTGGAAAGCAGTGTTGGCTCTTCAAATTACTCACACACGAAGGTCAATTAAAAACAATATTTCTTTAAAGTTGAGCTCGAAAGTCTGCCAGTTACAGCTGAATTGAGGCCCTACTATTTTGGGCAAGTATTTGTACATATTTGTCCTTACTGTGCACAACTCCATCAATCACGCAGAGGTTTGCATGGTCTTTACCCCTCACCGATATCCCAATCAAGTCTCTCCCAACTTGGCCTGGGTTGGGGATGGCTGGAACACAATCCAACAGCTACTCTGCTCAGAATCAGACAGGGTCCAGACACCAGATTTCAATGCAACATGTTGGATTCAGGGCATATTTTGTGCAATCAGCAATGGTATGATCGGAATCACGCTGCCTCCACAGAATAGCAAGGAATGAAACCCAAAGAGCTGAGAGGAACTTCAAAGAAAAAGGGATTTTGGGTGGTGAATCCCATGAAGTCCAGCACCTCCGAGGAGACAAAGCCACTTGCTCGGTGTCTGATGGGGATACAGGGGTTGCTGTGGGTGGAACGTGGCAACAGCTTCTCGAGAGCCCAAGGAAACTCAGAAACGTAAATAACTGAAAAAACCAACAGCCAAGTATGTCAAACATCTTGGAAAAGATTTAACAGAAGACCTGATGTGGACTCAGTGTGAATTCACCAGATTTTTAAATGTTTTCTGTATCAGTTTCCTCCTCCTATTTTAAGAAGAGCTATTAAAAGTCCGTGTTGTGCCTTCACTGTCGCACTCCAGGCTGGTAACACTCCTGATTTTAAGGATCTATAACTATTGCCTGCACACCCATCATTCCATACAACTGCACTACCTTGAGCAGGAATCACACCACCAGCACTACACTGCATTTCTTAGTGGATAAAAGACTCTTCTGCTGCTGGTCCCTCAGTTGTCCCATACCTAAAACATGCCCTATGTTAATTTACATCAATAAAACAGCTTCGTGTCAACTTGAA